AAAAAAAAAAAAAAAAAAAAAAAAACAAAGCCTGGAAAATCTTAATTCTCCTGAAACTCCCTCAATATCTAATTAAATTCTAATCATATTAATAACCAAAGTCTAGCAAGAGACCCTGCTATCATAACAAATCTACATTTGATCTTAACTACTCACTAATTCATTATCCATGTTAAAAAAAAACAAGATGATTCTGTGTAAATTAAAGACCTCCTGGAGTCAGAGACAGAAAAAAGAAACATCTTTGGAGGAAAATATTTTAAGACTGCAGGATAGGAAAGGATTACTTAAGCCACAGAAAAGGAAAGACAACAAAAAAGGTGTACGTGTTACATTTTAAACATATGTGTAATTTTTAAAGGCAACAAATTTAAAAGCCAATCACAAAGGCAAACATGTTTGTAAGGCCATATAACTAAAGCTTTAGTGCCTAGATTCCTACAAATCAGCCTTTATAAAATTTTAAAAAATCTATAAATAATGAAATAATTCAAACAGGAAAATGGATTGCATGATAATTCCATAAAAATATACTCTACCCCATTAATAATCCAGGAAATGCCACATTAAAAGCATTAAGATAACACTTCATGTTCAGCAACACCCCAAGTGTAGGGCAAAACAGCAATACCTACAGTACCAAATGTTTAACTAAATAAACAAACTTGAAAGATAAAAGACAAACTGCGAAAAACGGTCTGAAGCATATATGGCAACAATAGATTGATACTTTTTTTTTTAAAGATTTATTTATTTATTCATACAGAACTGGGGTACAGGCCAGAGATGCGATGGGTGAGAGGATTCACCAGGAACAGAGTGGGGAGCAAAATAGGCAGATCGACGAAGGACACTGCTGAGGGGAGCAGCGGGCGGGTCAGGAGAGGTCTGCCACGCCACGTTGGTCTCCTCCGAGGCAGGCGGGATCGAACTCATGCGGAATTGGCTTAAGCTTCTTAGTGCAGTGCTTTAATCCGTTGCGCCACCAGGGAGGGCCGATACTTTTAATATATATAAAATTCTTTTTTTTTTTTTAAGATTTATTTATTTATGCTTACAGAATGGAGGGACGGGCCAGAAGTGTGGTGGGTGAGAGGATTCACTAGAGACAGAGTGGGTAGCAGAACAGGCGGATGTGCTGAAATACACTGCTGAAGGGAGCAGTAGGCGGGTCAGGAGTGGTATGCTGTGCCATGTGGGTGAGCTCCCTGGCTGGGGATGGAACTCGTGCTACAGTGGCTTGGGAGAGCCCCATAATGCGGTGCTTTAACACACTGCACCACCAGGGAGAGTCCAATATATACAAAATTCTTACAAATCAATAAGGATGAACACCTTAATTTAAAAATGGGCAAAGAGCATTAATAAGCAATTATCTTTCTCTCCCCTGCCCCCTCTACCCTGTTGTTCTCTTCCTCTTACTTTCTGTAAAATGTTTTATCTCATAAGTATTTTAATCAATTAATAAATACTTGATAATGTGTAGCATTGAAGACAGTGTAGGGAAAAGGATAGTCTCAGATACTACTGGTAAAATTCTAAATAAACCCAAACTTTCAAGGACAACTGAGAATATACAATAAAATTTTAAATATGGGTGCCACAAATTCTCCTTATCTGATGGAAACTGACAAATACACAAGGATAAAGATATTTAATACAGTACTGCATATAATTATAAAAACTGAACAATCTACATATCCACTATGAAAAATTAAACAAATCAATGTTCAAAAATTCATGAATTTTTATATTGCAAAATCATGCCATTGCAAATAAAAATGTCTAAACATTTTTCTATTAGCATGAAAGTATGTTCTAGACATACAATTAAGTGAAAAAAGCAAGTAAACAGCATTTTTGTAAGTTAAATAGAGGTCCATTATAAGTGAAAAATTACATAGGTAAGTTAATATTTATTTAAACTTATATTTCTATACACAGAGAACACATATTTTAGAAAAACAGGTGTGAAATATTATATACCAAGATATTATCTGTGGCTAGTTCAGGATAATAAAATCATAGGTGGTTTTCATACTTTTTGAATAATTTGAACATTTTATAAATGAATATACAGTTTTTATAATATATGTCAGCAATTCTTTCAAGCTTTAACAAATAAAGATCAATAAAAATTACCTTTTTAATATCTTATGCTTTTAAAATACAGTACTTATGTTCTTACCTTTAAACCTTCAGCTGGAAGTCTATAGCCAAACCTTGCTGGCAGGTCGTCAAATGTCCGAGTTGCATTTTCAAAAGTATACTAAATATAAAATTAAAAACAAGTAAGTCACAACCAATTTTTACACAATACTAAAAATGTTTTATTAAAGTATTTAAATCATTATTTGTCTGCAATTTTGATTTACTTTCACAGATAACTGCAATAAAATTTATAGATGTATATTCATGAAAATATTAAGTAATAAACAATTTATTACCTGTACAAATGCTAAACCTAGATTCTAATTTTGTACAATTAGTTATTACAGAGATGCAATAATTCTATAATGCAATAATTCTACCTAACATTTTCTGAGTCTTTCCTGCAGTGAACAATTCCTTAACAAAAATTTTTTCTAGATAGATTTTCCATTTCCATTGTATCTCATTTTAATATGTCTGCATTATAATGATCTGATTTAATCAGAGATTTATAGGATTTCTGGCTCATGAAAGATGTCTGTTCCCCAAGAGAAAAAGGCACATCGAGTTGTATTTTTAAAGCATTCTCATTTTTTACTTTATCTGAATACTTTTTCAAAGACTAAAGAGTGGACTAAACACAATGAAATATATATATATATAGAGAGAGAGAGCCAATGATATTCAAGTTCTTCAACAACTTTCCCCTACCTTATTGATGCCTATGTTACAATATCGATATTTACCAGTTTTCTACAAAATAGAACAGTAGGGTTCTCTATGCTTTTAAAATATAGTAGTAATGATAATTATAAAGCAAACTTGCTGCATTTTTAATAATATCCAATCTGTTATATAGTAAGCAAGAGAAAAAAAAAAAGATGTAGCCACAAATACATGTTTTAAACAAGTAACTTTTGAGACATAGGTGATTCTATATTTAAGCTAATATTTAAAATAGTTGCCCATAAACTATAGGTCAAAAACAGACATATTTGTACTGATTACAGGTAAAAAGGTAGATACAGAAAAAAAGATGACTATAGATAAAAAGATTCAAAAAGACAGAAAACAATAAAAAGATGCTGTTTGTAAAAACAGCAAAAATGGAAAGAGCAAGCAATCCTAAAATACTCATAAAGGTTGGGCTACGTCATGTGATCAGACTGACAATTATTTTGTTCCTACATCAAATACTCTTTGATGATGTCCACTCCAGCTTTACAAATTATACATCAGAGAAAGACAATAAAATAGCTCTGCAGGTGAACAGTAAGTTACAGGGTATCCTGTATCTCTCCAATAAAACAAGCAAATGTTTTATCTCCGTACACCTTCCATCTGTCAAGTCCTTTTGCTTACTTTCAACTCAAAATCTGGGAGCCAAATTGTGATCCAAGAAAGCTGATGTGGCATAGAGAAAGCAGACACAGTAATGAAAAGTAACACAGGATTCTCACTTGTAATATCAATTTTTCACCTCTGCTTCTCACTGTATGTTAATTATTCAGTATGTATGTATATGTAATTAATTCAATAAAATATGTGATTCAAGTATCTGAACTTAATTCCTGACCCTATCTATTCTATTACCTCTTAGGTACTCAGCCTCATAGTATACCTAGAAGTCAGCATTGCTTCAGGGTAACTTACTACTGTGACAACAATTCATCTCTGCAAAGTGCTATATGGTTTGCACAGTGCTTTAGGAGTCATAAAGTATTTTTATATCCACTAGCACAATGTATCATAAAATTTTTTAATTAAGTCAACACTTAATTGACTTAATTCAGTTATGATCATATTTGTGTTAAAGTTGTCTTTTTTTTTTTTAAAGACTTATTTATTTGTACATACAGAACTGGGGTACAGGCCAGAGGCTCAGGGGCGGCGAGAGGCTTCACCAGAGTCAGAGTGGGGAGCAGAATAGGCAGATGGACGAAGTACACTGCTGAGGGGAGCAGCGGGTAGGCCAGGAGAGGTCTGCCGTGCCATGCGGTCACCTCCGGGGCAGGCGGGGATCGAACTCATGCTGAAGTGGCCCTAGCTTCTCAGTGCTGCGCTTTAACCCGCTGCGCCACCAGGGAGGGTGAAGTTGTCTTTTCTTAATCATAAAATAATTGTCTCACAGTATCTTACATTCAGATTATTTAACAGAATAATATATATAATTGTGGGGAGGTTACTGCTTATGAAATCAAAGCATGCTCAACTTTAATTTTCTGAAAGATTTATTTATTTATGCATACAAGAGCTGGGGTGCAGAGCAGAGGTACAGGTGACGAAAAGATTCACCAGCAACAGAATGGGAGGCTGTACAGAATGGGAAACAGAACAGATGGATCCACTGAAATACACTGCCGGGGGGAGTAGCAAGTAAGACAGGAGAGGTCTGCTGTGCCATGTGGGTCACCTCCCTTACACGGGATCAAACTTCTGTTTCAATGGCTACCAATAAATTCATAGTGCTAATAGTTAACCCCTTGCACCATCAGGGAGGCCCCTTAACTTTAAAAATTTGAAGTAAAAGATAAAGTTATTCCACTTTAGGATTCTCTTCCATGGTTATCACATCACAGTTTCAATCCACTTATGAAAAGGTCTTTGACAACAGCCTTAACTGTTTCATTTTAGCAGAAACAAGTATCTAACAACTACTGAGCATTTGACATGTGACAGATATTTAATCCTTACTAGAATCTTATAAAGTAAGCCCCTATCATCTTCATTTTTTAAACTGACCACAGAATATTGAAATAATAATAATACTCTTCAAAAGAAATTTAAGAGTAAAAAAGGTTTCGATCCAGGCAGTCTGGTCTTAGAACCCTGACTTGTATCCCATTACCTTACACACTCAGTCTTCTTTTCTTTTCTTTTTTTTTTTTTTAAGATTTATTTACTTATACATACAACAACTGGGTGGTAGTGGCGGTGAGAGGATTCACCAGAGACACATTGGGGAGCAGAACAGGTGATTTGACTTTAGTACACTGATTAGGGGAGCAGCAGGTGAGACAGGAGAGGTGTGCTGTACCATGTGGGACATGTCCCCAGCCAGGGATCAAACTTTTTGCACATCCTTGCCAAAATCTGTTATTGCTAGTTTTTTTTTTTTTTTTAATATGCACCATTCTATTTGGTGTATGGTGGTATCTCATTGTGGTTTTGATTTGCATTTCCTTGATTATGTGGCACGTTGAAACTTCTTCATATGTCTACTGGTGATTTGCATTTCATTTTTGGAGAAATGTCTAGAGTTCTACAGCCCATTTTTTGATTGCTTATTTACTTTGCTTTTCTTCAGTCCTGTTGTATATCTTTGTGATCAGTCTAGTGTTAGTTGTGTGAAGTGCAATATTTTTTTTCCCACTCACTAGGGTGTCCGTTTGTTTTGGCTAATGTCTCTTTTGCTATATAAAAGCTTTTTTATTTTATGTAGTCCCAGTTGTTTATCTTTTTCTTCACTTTCTTTGCTTAGGGGATGAGTCTTTAAAGATGTTATTGAGGTGTATCTCTTCTACTGTATTACCTACATATTTTTAAAACATTTTATTGTTTCATTTCTTTTATCCATTTTGAGTTTATTTCTGTGCATGAGGTTCATTTTTTTTTTTTTTTTGCATGTGGTTGTCCAGTTTTCCTGGCACTATTTATTGAACAAATTGTCCTAGTTCCATTGTATGTTCTTTGATCCTTGGTCAAAAATTAGTTGCCCTATATGTGTGGCTTTATTTCTGGGCTTTCTAGTCAGTTCCACTGGTCTGTGTGTGGGTCTTTGTTCCATTACCATATTGATTTAATTATTATGGCTTTGTAGCATAAACTGAAGTTTGGAAGTGTGATACCTCCCTTCTCCTTTGGTTTAGTCAGGAGAGTTTTGAGGTTTTTTTGTGGTTCCACATGAATCACCAATATTAGATCTATTTCTTTGAAGAATGTCATTAAGGGTTTTTTTGGAATAGTGTTAAATCTGAAAATAGCTTTTGGTAGGGTGGCCACTTTAATACTGTTAATTCTCCTGATCCATGAGCAGGGGATGTCTTTCCATTTTATGGTGTCTCCTTGTATTTCTTTTAACAGTGTTTTGTAATTTTCTTTTTAGGTCTTTTACCTCTTTTGTTAGGTTGACTCCCAGGTATTTGATTCTTTTTGCTTTAATTGAAAAGGGGATTTTTTTTTTATTTCTGCTTCTTCTGATTGGCTGTTTGTGTATAGGAAAGCCTCTGACTTTTGTGTGTTGATTTTATATCCTGCTACGTTGCTAAACTGATGGATGGTTTTGATTAATTCCTCTGTGGAGTTTTTACGACTTTCCATATATATTAACATCATCTGCAAATAAGGATAGTTTTACTTCTTCTTTCCGTATTTGGATTCCTTGTATGTCTTTTTCCTGTCTTATTGCTCTGGCTAGAACTTCCAGTGTTATGTTGAAGAGCAGTGGCGATAGTGGATACCCTTGTCTTGTTCCTGATCTCCAAGGAAAGGCTTTCAGCTTTTCTCCACTGAGGATAATATTGGCTGTGGGTTTATCATAGATGGCTTTTATCATGTTGAGGTATGTTCCTTCTGTTCTGAGTATTTCAAGGGCCTTAAACATAAATGGATGTTGAACTTTGTTGAAAGCCTTCTCCGCGTCTACTGATATGATTATGAGGTTTTTATTCTTCTGTCGATTGAAGTGATGGATTACATTAATTGATTTTCTGATGTTGAATCATCCTTGTGCTCCTGGGATAAAGCCCACTTGGCTTGGTCGTGGTGTGTTGCTCTTTTAATGCCTTCTTGGATTATGTTAGCTAAGATTTTGTTGAGGATTTTTGCATCAGTGTTCAGTAGGGAGATTGGTCTGAAGTTTTCTTTTTGTGTGTTTTCTTTGTTAGGTTTTGGTATTAGTGTGACGTTGGCTTCATAGAACCTCTGTGGTAGTTTTCCTTCTTTTTCAATTTTTTGGATGAGTCTGTGTAGAATAGGCACTAGTTCTTTTCTGAATGTTAGGTAAAATTCACTTGTAAGTCCATCTGGTCCTGGATTTTTATTTTTGGGGAGGGTTTTGATTACTTCTTCTATTTCCTTGCTTGTAATTGGTCTGTTTAGCTGTTCTATTTCTTCTTT